ATATTTTATTTTTCACTCCTTTCTTTTTTCCTATCAAATATACGTAGTATTGTTTCTCCTTTTTTTTTTCTTACATAGTGTTTAGATGAAGGAAAATGAAAGAGAAAAGAAGAATTATTATAAATTTTTATTATTTGGTTCAATTTTTAGGAAAAAAAAGAAAGGAAATTGAGAAGAGCAAAACTCCTCGTCTAAATTTATTTTCCTCCGATATTGAAGAGATTTAAAGTGGATAAAAGAGGTTTTAAAACATTTTTTTTATACAATATCTACAATATTTATATTTATATTCTTAAATTTAAAATTATAAAAATATAAAAAAAATTTAATTTTAAAATCCATTCTTTCGTTTTGTAAACTAAATAAGAAAAGAGTTAATTTTTTCCTTTCAATCAAATATAATTTTTAACACTCCATCCCTCTCCCCTATTAAAATATCTATCATTCCATCCCTTTGTAATTAAATGAGAATATAAAATTATTTTATAGTCTCAATTCCGAAGAAAATAAATAAATAAAAATAAATAATAAAAAAGGGAGATGCCCGTGCCCGCGTCACTACTTTCTCCGAAACCAAAAAACAAACCGCCAATAATTAACCCATTTGTCAAACTATATATGGCAGGCAAATGAACCGAATTTTGCGATGCAATTATTTAATCTGAAAGCAGTAAGACATGGCAGGACACAGAATAAAAGATGGCTGCAGCAGATCATCAACATAACCATATATATGAAAAGGGAATTTAGATTATCTTGCAATATTCTCTTTCCAATCTCTTTCTAGTAATATTAATAACCATTAAACATATTTAATGACTTAAATTTAATTTTATAAAAATTATTTAAAAAATTATATTAATTATAAAATTAAATTTGAGTCATTAGATATATCTAATAATTATTAATATTGTTAAAAAGAAGCTGGAGAGAAAATATTGACGGAGAGAATCCAGATTCATAAAAAAAGACCTTTTGTGGTAGGGCTTAGTTAATTCCTCTTTCTAACCTACATTTCATATATTTTTCTTCCAAGAGAGAATGAATTCCCATAAAAGATTACTAATATTTTAAATAATATGTATATTGATAATGTAAAACAAATTATATTATTATTTAATTATAAATCATATATTTTGTATAATAAATTTGTTGAATTTTATAATAATGTTAAAAATTATTTTGAAGTTAAATTGTAATTAATTGAGAATTTGAAAAACTTTTATGTTAGCATGAACACCTCAAAACTCTTATCATAATACTAATCAAAATTCTGCAGGTGTAAGCCAATTGAAAAAACGTTGTACGTTCAAACAAAAGTTGCATCACTTTTTTTTTTTTTTTTTTTTTTTTTTTTTTGTCTGTAGTGTGGGTTAGTTGGAATCGTTTGGGTTGGTAATAATTATGTCAATATTCAAATGCAAGAATTGGCTTTCTTGCAGTGACCGAGACTAGGATATATACTAATAAGTAATAACAATGAATCTTCTCTCATCGCGGCAAAGTTCATAAATGGTGATATAAAGTATAAACGGTGCATAATCTACTTGTACATATTTCAAATCTTAATTTTGATTATAAAATAGATTATGGTGATTTCAAATCTTAATTTTGATTATAAAATAGATTATGGTGATTTCAAATCTTAATTTTGATTATAAAATAGATTATGGTGATTTCAAATCTTAATTTTGATTATAAAATAGATTATGGTGAGAGAAGAATATTTATCTTGAATGTGTTTATAGTTTCATGTGAAAATTAGTCATTATTTTTGTCTTTTTATAATAAATACTTTTTTTTTATCAATATTATTATTTAAAAAAGTATAAATTGTCCGTCTATTTTTTTTTTCTCGAGTACAAAAATTGCCTTTTTAGAGAGACCTTCAACATAATAAACAAGGAAAAATAACTTAAAATTGTATTTTTTTTTCACTACTATTTTATTGCATATTATTTCTTGAAAAATAATGTATGAAAATAGTTGTGTTTAATGATAATGAAAAATCAACAAAAATTGAATATTGTCCCATTCAAGTTTTCAATCGATCAAGACACCATATACATTTGGACTCTCGAGCTTGGAGGGTTGCATGTTGGTATACAAACAAGGTTTCATATTGATAAAATAAGAAAAGAAATAAAAGTTTATAAAACACACACATACTTCAATGCTTGAGAAATCTTTTAAGTGATAACTAAAAGAAAAGTTGTGAGGACTTAGGTTTAAAATGAATAATATCTCATTATTGTGAAATTGTGTGTGAAATAACTTTATAAAAATAACGAGTTATAACCTTCTCTTCTTAATATAAATATCCCTTCTGGATGAAAAGTTAGGTCCTTTGTTTGATAAGGTCTCACATTGATAAAACAAGAGAAGAAATAAAAGTTTCTAAAGCACACACATAAGGATATAAACAAAGTTTTACATTGATAAAACAAGAGAGAAAATTAAAGTTTATAAAACACACACATACTCTTATAACAGAGGCCCTTGGGATGATAAAAAAAAAGTGAGGGCTTAGTCTCACATCCTCTTAGATAAATATCAAAAAAAAAATCAAAATAATTCTATGATTGCAGACCCTTTGCTTGAAGGGTTGTGTACCATCCAAGTCTATGATCGATCAAGGTTGTTGGACAAAACCCCCATCAACTAAGGCATCCCATTAACAAGTGTCCTTGTAGCAACGTTAAGCTTGGAGAACTTGAATTTCTAGGCCTACGACCAACTGACACCCCTGAGGCTTCCCTCTCTTCTTGATATAAATATCATTTTAGATAAATATTGGAAAAATAATCAAAAGTAATTCTATCATTGCATACCCTCTACTTGAAGGATTGTGTACCATCCAATTCTATGATTGACCAAGGTCCTTGGACAAAACTCCCATCAACTAAGGCCTCCCACCAGGATAAAACTCGGTTGGCAGGCAATTACAGAATGTGTACCGACAAATTATAATGTTGTGATTTATGGGATCATTCATTTTAATAATTGTGATTTATGGGATCATTCATTGTAATAATTATAATTTCATGATCGGTGGGATTATGGCAAGAAGTTAAGAATACATATAGAACTTTTGTATATAAGAGAGTTTGTTAGGGCTAAGAAACTTAGGTTATTTAGAGGCAATCTTTCACACTAAAACGAATATTAAACACATTTCCAAACCATTGCATTGGCTTTGTTCCAATAATAAAGTTTCTATATTTTAATTTCATTAGATTTTCTTTAAACAATTACTTTGTTTCCATTAGAATTCATATATAGATTTGTTTTAATTTGATCATTATATAAAGGCAACCTCATATACTAATGGAGACATTTATATGCTTATAAACACATATTCCTCCTCTTGTTCAAATGATGCAGGACTTTATTGATTTTTATCTCCAACCATCATCATCCTTAGTTGTACAACCTTTAGATCCCTCTCATTTTAGTATATTAGGAATGTTACAAGCCTAACAACTTCTACTTTATTCGCCCCTAAACCACACCATACTAAGAGAAATATCTAAGATTTGATACTGTTTGTAACATTCCTCAGATTTAACATTTCAATGATTACATTCCACATACAATAATAGTCATCTATGAGGAGTGAGATTCTTTAAATGAATTTATTGAAAAAGTTAAATCATTTGTAATCTTATTTTCATAATAAAGATCTTTTATTAGACTAGGTTATGTAGGTTTTGTTTATTAACATTGAGAAGGTTTTCGATGTAAAATTTTTGATATTATTCATTTTTATTTTTGTTTTCGCACAATGCCTATTTTACCTTATAAAGGTGGAAACTAGAAGGATTAATTCTCAACACAAGCAAATATTCTTATTAGAATCATTCCCTATATATATATATATATGGAAAATTCCAAGGGTACACCTCATTTGTTTTTTGGTTAAGTAAAAAGAAAATAAAAATAAAAAATAAACTTGATAAAATATGCAATGAAAAAGAAAAATGATACATGAATGTTTTATAATTAAAAACATTTCCTTAATTATATATATATATATATATATTTTTATCAAGTAATTAATTATATTTTTAATAATTATAAAAAAAAGTATAACACATATTCTAAAATCCAAACTCAATTTTCTAAGTCGGGAAAATTTTCAAATTAATCTAAACTCAGTTAAACATATATATTGTCTGAATCAAAATGGGGATCAGCTGGGCACTTGTGTATACACGTGGCTGTATATGAATCCACCAGGGTGGGTTAGGGACCGCACACCTTCGAATTTGGCAACTCAGATACATTATATGCTTTATTATGAGCGTCGCTTTCTCTGCGTGCACACAAAGCCTACAAATTATTTTTCTATTGCATATATATATAAACACCATTTATTTTTTTTTCAATTTATATTAAAAATTATGTTATTGACTTGATACAAATGAAATGAAGAGTACTATTAAAAGTTTGGAGTTTGGTATTAATATTTAAATTAACTTTAAAATAAAGAAATTGGAATGTAATTTGCTTTAAAAAAGATGTATCTAATGTATATAATATTTTTATATAATTTATTTATCTTTTTTCACTTATCCAAGTAAGTGAAGAAAAAAAATATTTTTTTTATTTATATTTATTTAATTAATGTATCTTTTTAATTTATTTCCCTTTTATGAAAACAAAAATATTAAGATATTTCTGAAATGGTATCGTCTTTTACAGTTTGTAACGTACTTGGGACATTTCTAAAGTGTTTATCAGGTTTTTTTTTGAAAAGAATTGCTCTAAAATTAACATTTCCATTTCACTTATTAATAAATAACTTTCCAATTGTGTGTTCCCAAGACTATTTGGACGAGGATGGTAACCAACTACTCTCGATGTTTGCAAAATGTGTCGAGAAGCTTGTCCTTTCCCCTAAACCGGCCCAACATACACAAACGTCACACTCAATGGAGAAGAAAAACACATGGACATGGGATCTTCCTCTTTCTATAAACTCACCCATTGCACGCCCACAACCCCCAACAATTCTCCTCACGAGTTAGGTAGTCTGAGACCCACAACAGGAGTTCTTCTTCTATGTCTGTGAATGTTCTAGCCATGGACAAGGGCAAAAGGAAGAGAGGCTCACCAGAACCAACCATGAAGCGTGCAAGGTTTCTTCCTGATCTCAACCAACCCTTTCTTCCTGATCTCAATTACCCTCCTCCTCCTGATTATAGTGATGAAGAGGAGCAACCACTTTTTGTTGCTCAAAAAAATGAGGTTTGTCACTTCTTCTTGTGTCGTTTTTAATTTAATATATCTCCTCACTTTTATTAATTTCATTTTAATTCCTTTCCTTTCTTTTAAATCCATCCTTATATATTAATTCTTAGTTGTGTCAATCTCTCTCTATATATAAATAAATATATGATATTCGTTCATTGCAATTACATAGATACATATTTATTATAAATGAATCTTAATTATTTCAGGTTGTGTGGATTCATGATGAAGAAAGTACTACTGGGGCAGCAACAAGGAAAGGTAAGATGATAAGAAAGAGTGAAAGTGGGAGCAGCTCTAACTGGATCAAAGCATACTGGAACAAGGTCCGTGAATATTGGATAACCTCAAAGAACAAGAACGATGCGTGCTCTGAGTAACTCAAGGTCCAGTGGCAAAGTGTTGATAAGAAGAATATGTATGTTTCAATAAGTGTTGGTTTGCTTTAATTTGATCTTTGTTGTGGGATATATAAATTAAGGTTAAATAAATGGGGGCTTCTTTCTTTTGTGTTAAAGAGAGATGGGGTGGGGCAAGTGTTGTATTATGAAATGAGTATAAGTTGGAGAATCAATATAATTAATTTGGTTATGAGTTGTGATATATTGGATGTGGGTTTTATGAGCGGTGGAACGAGTCAAGTGAAAGGGACAAAGTTAAAATATAATTTAATCCACACCTAAAGGCATGTTTTTGTATCAAAAGGAGACCCTCAGAAATCGATGTAACCTCATACGCAGAGAATCATCACTCAACTCATAACCTCTCTCTCTTTATAGCCCTATGAATGGTCTCGGTCTCACCATCCAAATCCGAAACCCTAACCCTCTACCACACTTGCTTTCAAGATTTCATCCATCACTGCATATTAATTAGATCAACGGGAATTACAAGAGCACCTTTCTGCCTTCAACGACCGTCGGAGCCACCGCTATATGTGCCTCTCTCTAGCTTTCATGGGGATTAGGGTTTACTCTTTCTTTAGTCCCTCTCTCTCTCTACCTTTATTTTCGTTATTAATTAATTCTAGGCCTATTTGCTTTATTTTCTTACTATTATCTGTTTCAGGCTATTGTCTTTAATTTGGGCCTAATTGCTCTTCCATTCAAAATCCCTAATCTCTGTTTCAGGCTTAGCATGGGTATAAAATAACAGACCTTTGCATCTTTTAATCCGAAATTAAGTGACAATTCGTGTCCTCGTTTGCGTATTATTTTTTAAATAAAAAAGAATTTTAAATAAGCTTAGGACAATATAAAGAAAAAATTATAAATAACAATCCCTCTTACTAAAAGGAAAAATCACAGAATGAAAATAAAGTTTTTTTATTTTGTACTGATCATTTGAATTTATTCCTACCTGTTCATGGTCGTAGTGTCTTTGTGGTTTTATGTTAATCTGTTACTGTTAATTTGTTATTATTAAATAAAAATATTAAACATTTCATGTCATTTCAAATAGAATATTTACTGTGAAAAAAATTCATTTGAAAATGTCAATTTTCTACTGAAACAATGTCTGGATGAAGAAGGTATATTGATTTGCACTCATCAAGAAAAATCATATTCCCAATAACACTATGTTTGTGTTATCTTATTCAATCATCCATTTTTTTTTCTTCTTCTTTTTCTGTTTTTAAAATTATCAGTAAAAAATAATGAAAATAAATTAAGTACAATCTGTGACAAAATAAAAATAAAAATAAAAATTTTAAATACAAAACCGATTAGAAATTATTTAAAATCCTACCATTTCCAAGTGTTTTCAATTATAAACTATATATTTCAAATACAGTAAACTAATTCAATCACACACTTTTATAAACCTAATTAGTAGCCTATCCCTTGGTGCGTTAACCCTTTGTAGCTCTTTAGGATTAAACCACCTTTATTTCTTGATCATAAAGACTACGTACGGACATGTCTTAATTCCCCAATCCCTACCTAGAACAATCAGTGGTCAAGTTATAGAAAGCGTTGAGGTTACCTAGCTTTTATAATGTTTTTTTCTCTTTAAAGTAAAAGTTTCTTTGATTAGTTTCTATAAAAGCTCCATTTTTGGGCTTTAATTCTTTATAGAAGTTACTCTTTTTAGAGAGCTTTCCAGAATTGTGTTCGGCCCAATGTTTCTAATAAGCAAGAGAAAAATCCAAGAAAAGTTGGGCCAAAGTAGAAATGGAACAAACTTTTAAGAACTCTTGTTCATGTTGACTTTTCCACTTTAGATCTACTCCCCTTTTCTCTGGTCATCTAAATAGAAGCCATATATGTTACTTGAGATGCACATTATGTAAGTTGGAGACCACCTGATCTAATAGGAAAAAAAAGTGAGTTGCATGTATTTCAATTAGTTAAGAAGTCTGGATAAATAATTAATAAGTCTTTTACTAAAATTAGTTAAGCACTTTTATCACATGATTAGAGGGTTTTGTTGCTGTTGCTGACATTCATAATTCATTCAATGACAGACGAGCAGTTTGCCATTAATTAGTGTTATAGAATACATAGCTGTCGGTAGCATACCATTCCAACAAGTGAGTTTGATGTGCGCCTTCACTTTTTTTTTTTGTTTTTTTTGGGTAAATATGCCTGTTTTTTTTTAATCAGATCAGTAAGATATAGTTAGGTCATTAAGACACTTCAATTACATTCTGAACAAGATCATTAAGATAGTTAAGTCATTAAGACACTTGTCTCAGCTAGGCCTCATAAAAAATGCTATACAATAATTCAATAGTTTTTCTCTAACCTAGGTTATGCTTTTAAGGTTATTTGCTCCGGCTTGGTCTTGGCCAGGTAATATAGATGCCAAGTGTGTTTGTATATTGAAATTCGATAATCCTTGATTATGTTTGCAAGTTTTGTGGATGAGTTAAATCCGTAAATATGAATAACAATTTCAGTTTCGAGATTTGACATTCTTTATGAAAGAAGTTATATTTGTAAATAGTTTTGATGTTTGTAAAGGTTGGAGGAAAGAACTACCGTACCCAAACCTAACCCCTCTCATTAGACGACCGTGAGATTTTGATGAAATCGAGGGTTCCATCGGTTAGCCTTCAAATCATGAAAAAAAAAATAATTGTATAAAGATCTAATTAATGTAACTGGACTTTGATATTGGAATAGTCAAAGCAATGACAACGTAGAAAAGTTTGGTTTTATTTTAATGAGAAATTGATTGGATTAAAATAGGACTTAGAAGTTGGAAACACAACCAAGACAAGAAGTGTTCTAATTATTTCTTTTTTTGAAAAAGAATAGAGCTAAGAAAATTAAAACTAGTCAACTACACAAAATAAGTTGTCTAATTTCTGAACATTCAAAATCCAGTGCATATCCCTATAGCAACAATTTGATGTCGTCTAACTCTAACTTGATCTTTAATAAATAAAAATCACATTTTTCCTATAACTAAGTAGGCCTCTCACTATGAAGCTTGACATAGTTGACTAATTGATCCTCGCGTAGTCCATGCTTTTCACCGCAAGGCTGAAACCAAATAGTTGGCATAAGGACTTTTTTATTCTCCATTTTTTTTTAAACAAAAGGACGAAAACAAATAGAAAGGCACAAAATTTTACTCCAAGAAAGAGCTTGTAGATTCTAATTAACAAGACACCCATAAATACTACATTGATAACATAAATATCATGCACTAAGCAAGTTCGTAAAGCTTATAAAATTGCAAGCAAGAAGTGGACCAGATACCACCAATTGACACATTAAAAAAATAGAACTCAAGAACATACAAGAAGTGCCAAGTGTTATTGCCAAAGTTCTTGCCAATAGAGTCAAGCGAGTTCTGCCAAGTCTATCTTTTACGTGACAAGCATGAGGCATGTTCTACGTTAATAAAATTTATTACAATGGTGCAAACTCAATTTAATTCCATGGTTAAAAGGGTTCAAACTGATAATGGGACTGAATTTGTTTCTACGGAACAGCCCATTCTTAAACCAGAATGAACCGTTCCCAACTAGGGTTATAGGCCTTGTTAGTAGTTTAGAACGGCTCGTTCTAGTTTGGGAACGACCCGTTCTAGGCTAACCAAAATTGGTCTTTTCGTAGTTTAGAATTGCCCGTTCAAGATTGGGAACGAACCATTTTGGGCTACTAAAAATTCAAAATATTGGGCTTTGAGTCCTCATATAATTTGTGAAAATTGGGGTGTTACAATTCTCCCCTCCTTTTTGAAATTTCGTCCCCGAAATTTACTTGCTAAGAATAACATCGGTACTCTCGCATCTAACTCTTGAATTCCTAGGTCGCACTCCCCTCGGTTGCCTATTAGAAAATATACTAGTAGGAAAATTCATGTAACCTCACTACCTCATTAATGTACAACTCTATCAATCTCTCCAAGGAATATCTAATATTAATAAGGATAAAACAAACAAATTTGGTGCGTCTATCCACTATAACCCAAAAAGAATCAAATTTCTTAAGCATCTTTAAGCAAACCTACAACCAAGGTCTATCTACACACCATCTCACTTCCAAAATGGGACGTTTAAAGGCTGTAAAAAATCCTAAAGACTTCTAGTGTTCTACCTTAGACTTCTGGCATACTACACACGAGTACACAAATTCCTCTACTCCTCTCTTCACCTTAGGCCACCACACTTCCGCTGCACCACTCTTATACATCTTTGTAGCTCCTAAATGAATGCTAAGAGTACTCTTATGTCCTTCCTCTAAGATCATCTTCCTAAATTTAGGATTACTAAGCACCCGAATTTTATTCTTGAATTTCAAAACAACATCAACTCCTACTCGAAAAGGGTTATCTATACTCCTACTAAACTTCTCCACTTGGTTCATCAAGAAAGGATCTAACTCCTAGTCTTCTCTAATCTCCTCAATCAAATCCAACCCTTACATTAGAAAAACTGATAGATGAATGATCATCCTACTCAAGGCATCTGTCACAATATTAGCTTTACTTCTATGACCCTCTCCAAAGATCAAACACCTAAGCATAAGTTCACTAGGTACACATACTCGGTCTCAAAGTCTTACTACTCCATCTATACCTAAGGCAAATTCTTATCCATTACCTTGTCCTATAGCCTCATATCTTGTCACCAAAATGAATTAACTAATTATGCTTCTCCAATTCTCCTTCGATAATCCACTAATTACTCGAGTCATGCCTAGTCTCGTACCACTAGGAGTAATCTCACAAGTCAAACTTAAATCCCTAAATTGAGCCAAAAGATCCATCTTTCTAATCATAAGGGAAGATAACTGTGGAGATTTCCTACTCAAAGCATCGGTCACTACATTGGCTTTGCCTAAATGACAACTAAGATCAAAATCATAGTCCTTAAGAAATTTTAACCATCTCCTTTGTCTCATATTCAACTCCTTATGATCAAAAGATACTTAAGGTTCAATTCTCACTAAATACCTCAAGCTTAGAATCATACCAATAATGTCTCCAAAATCTTGAGTGTAAATATTACAATCTCTAACTCAAGGTCATGGGTAAGGTAATTCCTCTCATGAATTTTCCATTTCCTAGAAACATAAGCTACTACCTTTCTTTCTTGCATCAACAATCCACCCAAACTCATCTTTGAAGCATAACTATATACCACATAAGACTTATTAGAATCCGGTAATATTAATACTAGTCAATCTTTCCTTAAGAGTTTGGAATGATTATTGTGGGCTACATATATTATTTGTAGTATTTATATTAGTTATTTACATTTAGTTGGGCTCAATAAAAGTGATCTAATTTTAATGAGTCTTTAGAATGTCAACAGGAAAAACTGATATGAGCCCAAATAAGTGGAAACCAGATTTGGCCCGTTAGGGTTAATGGGAACCCTAACAGGTTTAAAACTGTAAAGACGGTTGTAACACCTCGATTTTCACAAATTATATGAGGACTCAAAGCCCAATATTTTGAATTTTAGTAGCCTAGAACGGGTCGTTCCCAAACTGGAACGGGCTGTTCCAAACTACTAAAAAGACCTATTTTTGGATATGAGACATTTGAGACGACATCTACGCGGACATGATCCTTAATTCTTCCTAAACAAAGTAATTAAGAATCTTGTTCATGAGGAATTTGATTTTGACCCAGTTGAAACTACTCTCTCCCTCATCACCCTCTTCTCGCATATTGGGGTTTCCAGTAGAAGAAGCAACATCATCAGCAACCGGCAGAATTAACTGAAATAAATTTCATCAAATATAGAGGGGTATATATATAATTATATATGAATATGTTTGAATATAAGTTAGACTTATTTTTGAAAATTTTCCCATTAAATAAAAAGCTCATTATCGGTCTCATTAACTCTTTTAAACTAGTATATACGATAGAATAAATAAGTGACCTCAATGTGATAAGCAGACTCATCATAAGTATCATCAGGATGAGGGGGTTTATTGAGATCAAGAAAAAGCCTTGGACGCTTCTTAGTTGCCTCTGAATCTGATGACACCTTCTTCCTCTTCCCCTTATCAACTGGCTTTGTAATCACAATCACACTCGGAGACTCGGAAGAAGAATGCTTCTTAGCCATGTTATGTGCTGAGTATGCAAAATAAGAGGGATGAATTAATTAATATTGGATATGCAATCTTAAATGAAAATGAGGGTTTTATAGAGAATCCAACAATTAACATGATTCAATTAATTTCAAGCCAGCACGAGGTCGTTGTCACAACTTTCATCATTGAGTGTCAGTTGATGGGTAGATATATGCCGTGGTCAAACCTCCTTGTTGTAAAATGTAAAAAGTCTCATGATGTCGCATTCAGCCTTTTGGGCCTATTGCTTTTCCATCTTCTGTCTTTTCACGCTAATGCAATCTCTCTCGAATCAAGATTCAAGACAAGATAGTTATTCTCAAGGTACTAAATTGAGAATAAAGCAAGTCGGCATTTTAATATTATGAACATGGATCGGATCCTTTGCATTGCCTTTCTATCTCTCTAACTTTCTTTTTTATTATCTTCTTTCATTTCTCCATTCTCTATCTGTCTCCTTTTTAATTTTCTTCTAGAAACCAAATAAAAATTAGGATTTAGTTTAATTCCTTGACGTACTTTAATTAAGATAATTGGTTGAATGTATTAATTGCATCAATTATTTAACCTCAATTTTACTTGCACTGAGTTTGACAACTCCTTATAAAATACTTTATAATTAGGGTTATAAGGTAAATGTTCAAGTATGACTTAATTAATCATATTCCTCAAAAAGAAAAAAGTATGACCTAATTATACACCTCAATAGGGGAGATGATGCTTTGAATGTGCCTTCCATGAGGCACTAGTTTTTCTGTTGTAATTTTTTACCCTTTGTTTCTCTGATGTTACCAAAAAGAAATACACCTAAATTACCTAAAGCTAATTCAAGTCACCGTTGTAAACATAAAAACTCACAATTTTAAAAGCCAATGAAAAAAATCTAGATACCCCATTAGTCAAGATCGACCTTGAATATTTACACGTTCACTGGACATATATCCACAAATCCAAAGCCTTTAATATGCTGTCTTCTACGGCGACTGTGGTCAATGGGAGAAATTAATGTATACTTAAAGCACTATATATTAAGTAATTAAAATAAATTGCTAAATGTTAAAAAAAAAAAAATTGGTGTGACATGCTACATGAAAATTGTAAAGGTCGAGGTTTCCAACCCTTAATCAGAGCGTTTTTGTTTCCACTAAATTTATCAAATATGGTTTTTTTTTTAATTTTATTTTTGATATGCAAAAATTTTATTAACCAGACAGCACAAGATCTGCTAAATAGGAAAGACAGAGAATACAAAATAATCTTAAGGTCCTTTGACCATGGCATCCCACAACTCACAAGTGTACCCACCTTAAGGTCCTTTGACCTAGGCATACAAAATAGTCTGAATGATTACCCCACCTAGTGATCAATTCCATACAATACTCACTCAAGACAACAAAATGTACATGTGATCAAAAGGAAAACTACACGAGACACAACCTCACCCAATATTTCGCACAAAACAAAACCCTCTACATCTAGTTTGGCAAATGCGAGAAGAGCTCCTTCAAAACTGTGTGTTCAGTGTTACCACCATTTATTATCCATTAAAAAATATTGCCACCCAATATTCACACAAAACAAAACCCTCTAAATCTAGTTTGGCAAATGCGAGAGGAGCTCCTTCAAAAATTTGTGGATTGATTGTTACCACCGATTATTATCCATTAAAAAATATTGCTTTTCTTGTTGTTTTCTATAGTTTGAATATGATATCAATGAATAACAAACACAAAAAGGCTACTAACTTTCTAATGTCTAAAATCGAAAAGACTTTATTCTTCGATGTGTAAATAGTTAACAGTGATAAATGATTTCCAATTTTAGACATATTATGAATAAGTAACCTATCGCATTGATTGATGCCATAGCCATATTCTTAATCCTAAATGTGTTAACGAACAATTTATTAAAAATAAGAAAGAACCACTTCAGTATTAGATGTATCAAAGAATAACTTTAGCAATTTATTAACAATTTAGAACAATGAAGTTAAGGATGCTGTAATGTTTAGGAATAGGTCAGATGCCATCAATTATATAACACACTAAAGAGAAAAATTGAGTTGAAGCCAATGACGGATGCACGTATTGATTTGTGAGGGCAGTTGCCCCTACTAACTTTTCCGGATTTTTTTTAACAATATATATAATATTATATTATATTATCTTTATTTAAAATCTAAAAACAAAACAAATATAAAAAGTTACAAAATTAAAATTGAATTTGAGTCTTGCTGCAGTTATTTTTGTGTGAGGAGGAAGATTTAAAAAAAATATTTTAATATGTTATAAAAGTTAACAACAAATTACATATTTTATTAAAAAAAAAAAGTTATTACGCATTTAAATTGTAAATCAAGATAAATTTTTTTTATAAATTAATAATGTATGTATTTTAAGTATAAAAAAAATTATAAGTTGTTATTAACCTTTTCTTGAATATTTTATATCTTTTTTCTATTTTCTATTTTCTTTTTTCAATTCTTTTCATATTTTGAGGTACCTCTCTATGTCTAACATATTTTAAAGTGTAGAAGAGTGAAATTGAAAAAAAAAAAAAAAAAAACAAACAAACTTCTTCTTCCATCTCTCCTCCTTCTTGTTTGAATAGCTAAACTATACATTTAAAGTGATCTTTGAGGTTAGTGTATTTAAAGTTATTGTTTTTATATTACTTCATTTGAATTTTTATTTATTTTCAATGTAAAATTCAGTATTTTAATTTTTATTTACTTATTTTATTTTTATGTTTAGAAGAAACATTGTATGTTATGAACATTACATATAACCAACTTGAAAATTATTTCATAGAAGTATGTTTTGACAGTGCCTTTTCAAAATTAGAAAGGATTGGTATCTTTCTATGAAACTTTTGGAGACAAAAAAATATGTTGTATATCCATTGATGTATTTGTTTTTAGAGTTATTTTTGATACTACCAGTGGCAATTGCATCCATTGAAAGAGCTTTTTCTGCTCTAAATATCATCAAGAATTAGATACGAAATCGTATGGGAGATGAATGGTTAAATAATTGTTTAGTTACTTATATATATAGAGAGAGGTTTTTGATAGTATTGAAAATGAGCAAATTATTCAATGTTTTCAAACTATGAAAATTCGTAGAGAACAATTATGATATGTATTTGTCTTTATAAAAAATTTATTTTATATTTAGAAAAATTTATGTATTTAAATATTGCCCCCACTACTTAGAATTCTTGGATCCGTCACTGGTTGAAGCACTTGACAATTAAAGAAAGAAATGAAAGAGTTCTTTATTTCTCCACCAAAATGGTGTCCAGGATGCATTTCCAAAATGTACAGCAAGTTCAGAACAACAAAAATGATTCAAAATATAAACACCTTCTACGTGTATCTACATCAATTAATGTAAAAAAAAAAAATGCCAATTTTTTTTCAACTGTTGATGTTGCTGCAAATTTACTCGATTTCAAGCTTCATTTGGTTATGAGGTGGCAACCTCGGAGTTGGGATGAAGTTCATGAAATGTGGTTGTGTTGTGTGTTCCTTGATCCAGAAGGTGCATGTGGAAATGGAAGACAGTCAATTGGAAAGATCTAGCTTGCAAAGCTTGTGTCATGCCTCTTATTAGTGGTTGAAGTAGAAGGTGCAAATTCCACATAACCCTGCCATAGCATAATATATAAACGCAATTGTTAAAATGCTCTCCAATAGGCTTTTTATAAAGCAACAGAATCTAAAGACATGATGTAAAGCATTTTCCCATCATGATAACAAGTCCAAATGTAAAAAAGTGTCAAGTCGAAATAACGTGGATTGTAGCATACTTCGAGTCCATCATATATATATATATAATGTAATCATACTGCTAGGTTTGTTTCATTTTTGGCATCTTACTATAAATAAGGATTTCTCATAGTGAAAAACTGATACTCATGATGGGTATACACAACAATATATATTTGTACTTGTAGCTACAACAGCATAAGGCATCCAGTCATATACATTTGTGGTTGATTCCTTGAATTGGATTGGCTGAGATGATGGAACAAATTGTGACATGGTCCACGTAGTATAAAAAAACTGACAATCAAAAATTTATCTGCGCTTATTGAATGTGAAAATTCAATTTGTGGTGCCCCAATTTAGGTAGCACATACTGTTGAGACTCACTATACCATACCTTGAATATAAGGTTTTCATGTCACCCATTTTCATCATCAATGTTATCATATTTGTTACTCATCATATTTGCTATCAAGTTGTTCCTCCTCAAGCATTAGAGCCTCACCGAGTGTAACCAAAGGTAATTATAGAAGTCATCCTGCAAATGCACATACCAAGAACAAATTATTTTTATGAAGAAAAAAAAGGAAACTACTAAATTCTGACCAAATACAAAAATTAGAAGAAAAAAATTAATTAGTGAAAAAAAAAGGACCACACCATGAGAATAGGAAGCACTTCTGACTGAATAGTTACAATTTGAAAACCATTCTCATACAAATGAAGACCGAATCCAACGCTTCTGACTTTGACTTTAGACAAGAAGCATTGTTCTCCCTCTCAAAGTAGGAAACGATGTCAATGATAGTCTAATGTGGGGAAGAAATTTGGGTGGTTACAGACTTACGTCACAGTAGAAACTACGAGAAATAAACCTGTCCTATAATACACTTTCACATTAGTTCCTGAAATCAAAGAAATTCCAAGAAAAAAGAGGTCTCTCTGTCAAGTTGTTTCATCTAAATCTCTAAACTATTTACATTTTGATCTCTATATATGTTAATGTTATCACTTAAGTCATACACACAATTAAACTTTCCAATAATATGTAATTGACAAATTGCTCTTGTAAGAAGTTATTTAAAATTTCCTTAGTTTTAAGGATTAATTACTCAAGAGTTAATGAAGGATCAATTGCTTAATACATTTTTACCTTGTCATCCATATTTCCCCCTTTCAAATCGGTCCTTACTTAATACATTTAACCTTCGTTTTAGTTACTATTACTTGGTGTCAATTTGGCCCCTATATCAGTTATGTTAATGTGGGTGTCATTTAGCCATTTATGATTTAACATCTAGAAAAACAGGGAGGGGACTATAGGAAACAGGGGAGATTGGATTGCTCTTCTCACATTAACTGCATATATTGATACTCTAATTATATTAGAATAACTCTTAATCATAACATAACATTTTAGTTAACACACTAAATTGCTATGTGGATATAATAACAAGAAGCCTTCAAATATTTTGTTGTCATACAATAATAATGTCTCTTGATACACATTAACTCCCAACATTTCATATTCTAATACTCATACACAGCCCTTTAATGTCTACTTATTATTTCTACATAACCATTTTGTTTTAATTTAATTTCTGGTATAGAATCTGTTTGGATACAAACATAGAAACGTTTTTGAACTTTGAAAACTTCTTTAGTGAAAATACTCTTTACTTCTGATAAAGAAGTTTCAAGCGCTTCTAAATTGTACATAAATAGGCTTGTAGTTGTTTTCTTTTCTTTGATTCCTTCACATGTAAACGTCAATTGAAGATTAAATCACAAACTTGTGAAAGATAGAAGTACTTCAAAGTCAGAACTATTTTGGATGGTGCATATGGGGATATTAGCAGAAGAAATTCAAGAAAATAAAAACATATTGAAAGCACGGAATTATACTGAAAAGTAAATTGGTTAAACCTTTATACCCTTAACCCGCAACAGAGACAAAATATCACTTGGACACTCCCTTCCACATATCAGCGCGTGTTTAGGAATTCATTCTGAACATACTTATTCTTTAATTTTTCACGTCCATTTCTAAGATTGGTGCAGAAGTTAAAGATTCACCAAAATGGTTCCAAACATGCATTCAGAGAAATAAAACAGTATTCAGACTAAAGTGCAAATGACTAAAAGGCATCATATTCTCAACATCGAATCAAAACGAAACAAAGGCACACATAAAACTTATTAATAAAGCAATCCATGATACGACACTGCTGGCCTCATGTTTTATTCATTCTTCTTCTTCTTAAAAATCTTAGAAGTGGCACTCAACCACTTCTTTATCTTCTTCCTCTTGTTGGCCCAAAGGGAGCTACCTTCCTCAACTTCACCTTTTGGTATCTCACTCACACGTATTTCAGGTTCAGCTTCATCAGGAATGAGCACAGGCTGAAATAATATATTTTTTTTATGTCATTGCAACTTATTAATTGATCAATGAATGAGACATGTTTATATATGTGTGGTCATTGACAAAGACAATAATAAATAACTAAACAGCTGATATAGATGAGGGTAAGGGAAAGGGATAAAGTGATAGGAAACAATTAAATGGAAATTAATAAAAAATCAACACAAGAAGTAATTAATGGCCCCTTTGATTATACTTTTTAAAGAATTTTCCGTTTTCTAAAATTAAGAAATTGAAAGACCTGTTTGATTGTTGATGACATACTTTCCCACAAATGTTATCCTGGACCATCTTTATAGGTAGTGTATACTGCATCACTTTTCACAGCGTTGGATTCATCTCATCTACATGGAATAACCTCTGCATCAAAATTGGTTCTTCTTCTTTCCCTTTTCCTTTCTTTATCTTCCTCTTCCTTTCTTGGACCGGTCACCACTGATCTGGGATCTGACTCGGTGTGAAGTTTTCTAGACCTCACTAATCAATGGTGATTGGACCATGAAAGGAGATGAAGAAAGGACCACATGACTGTCCGATGAGATGAATCCGATAGTGATTAGAAGTAGTGCATCATAGATCACCTATAACAGTTGTAGCAGTCAAAATTAAGAACAGGAACACCAAAGAATCTATCAATCAGAGGCGATAAATCTAAACTCAACCGTAGGTTGTTCTGCAATAGTTTTATCAATCTAAACTCTATGAATCTACCAGTCCCCCCTTGACCAAAATTCAACACCAAAAACTATCGGGACTTTTAGAGGATGAACAAGAAAAGGAAGGTAGGTGAAGGCTTTTCCTGAGGAAATCAAAAATTGAAATTAGAAAACATCTTTGTGTTGTTAAAAACCTGGTGTGTTTGGATTCCCATCAGTGATCCACGTTTTATGCGCACTTGATAGATTTTTGATGAGAAATCAACTAGCAAGAAGCATAAAAAATTGCTTCAAAAATAAGTTTTTAAAAGCAAAAAAAAAAAAAAAAACATGTCCTTAGTTACCTCATTGTCATCGTTACTAGAGTCAGGAGGGGGTGGTTTATTGAGATCAAACAGAAGCTTTGGAGGAGCCTTGTTATTGTTACTCTCCTCCGTGACCACCATCTCAAAGTCAATGGCACGAACTGAAGCAGGATTGTTGCTGTAATTGTTCACCGACTCAGCTGAAATAGCCCTCATCAGACTCTTAGCCTCCGCCATGTGTTTACCACTCACTGATAGATCTGTAAACAATTTCAGAATCAGAGGGAACCATAAATACTACTAATGCATCATATCACGAAAGCGATGTTTTATTAAATAATGATTTTGTGTAGCCAAATTCAACCAAGTGTGTTATCTATCTAGATTCTTATCTTTGACCAAGTTGGTTTCCCATTGTGCTGCTTTGAACAAGGAAATACTAGAAAATATTGGAGTGAGTCACGTTGAGACACTGCCAAGACCTTTTCTATAGATCAATTTCGCATTCTTTGGAATTAGATGTTGAGAGTTCCAAAATAACTTCCAAACTTGTTTTTCCAGCTGCAAAAGCAAACATCTTGTGCTGCCACGTTAGTCATGAAGAAATAATGTGGTCCAAACGTTTCTAGAGAGAAATAGTTTATATTTATGTACAACACGACATTCATGTATCTTCGTTAAAACAAGAAAAGACGATTCATGTATTTCACCAAATGAAGGCCATGGCTAGTAGACAATGCTAGTAATATTAAGATTTTTTCTTTTTATTTAATTAGTTTTGGTTAGTCTGTTGATTGTAACCAAAAAAAAAATATAATAGTATCAGTAGACCTGTCAATTAATTTTCAATTAAAATGTGACATTTTTTTTCTTTAAGAGGACATAACTACAAATAAGTTAAAAAAGAGGCCTAACGATAAATCCAACAAGGCTTATTCAATATTCATTAACTAACACCCAACATTGGCTTTCTCATCTCTTTATTCCAAGCCGACTAATCATTTCATATTATGTTTTCACTTTTCAGCATGTACCATGTCCATTGGGTGTTCCATTAACCTTTTATTATTAGCTTTAGGGTGGGTTTCGATTCAACTTTATTACATTGAAGAGGAGAATTATATAATTACCTTTCCATTTTGTATTTCTTTTCTTTTGACTTGGCACACTGGTGCTTCTAGTGCAACAATTTTCTTATTAACAAATACCTTTTGCTTATATATATATATACTCTCTTTTTTTCTCCCTTGCTTTTTCCTTGTTAGTGGGATATGGTATTTTGTTGTTGCAAAATTTCTGTAGAAACCTAACTAATTCTCAAAATTAGCTTGGCAGAAAAAGTTTAAGAAAAAAAATCCGAACGAGTCAAAAGCATAGAACTCTGACAAATTTTTTTTATAAAACGTCTACAATTGAAGTATGACAAAACGAGTCATTTATCTGGTGAGTAGAGCCTATAAGCAATGAATTATGACAAAAATATATATATATATATATTATGGATAAAAACGAGTCAAAATCACACAAGTGAAGAACAAAACTATGACACATACATGATACGTGGGTAACGACAATCCTTATTATATGATAAAATCCTTGTCCCAATCTCAAAACAGAGACGATAAAATTTTGAACATGGGAAACGTGGGCACACCCCCAGCCTCAACTTTTCAGAAAAATAAAACAAATTATATATGTACATTTTCAACACATGCAAGTTGCTTCTTTTGTTGTTATAGAGAAAAATTGGTTCTTGTTAAGTTGTTTCATTGAGGATGATCTAATGTTATGGTCCTTATGGACCCATTTGTTCCCTTCCAGTAATAAAATTAAAATTATAGTATATTTTATAAATCATGTAAATAAAGATACCAATCAAATCATGCCTCTTTCATTCATTCCCTTGACAGTTGGAATTTGGATGGCTGCTGAGTTCATATGCATGTGTCATATTCATGGCAGTATTAACTTTGTGGGTTCATAAAGAAGAAAAGCACAACCCCTTCAACTACTCTTTGAATATCTGGATACTAATTTTCAACAAATATCTAGATTGGTGCTGAGTGGGAGAGAGAAAAAAGTTGAAGCATGCAGCATATACTAAAGTATCTTACTTGTGGCTGCCAATAATATAATTGTAATAATCTTATCTTTTGAGTTTGGTGGTTAGTACGAAACAGAAAGTAAAGAGAGAGATTTTTGTCGTGTCTGTGTGTCATGTACCGTGTACGTACAGAATCGAATCTATTGGTCAAATCATAGAATTGATGAAATATAGGTAGGAGGCTGTTGACTGTTGAGGCTCGTTAATTGATGGCACTTTGCATCAAAGATTTAAAAAGTCCATTGTTTATCAAACTGGATATTGAATCAATACATCACAACTTAAATTAGTAAGTTATAAATTGTGATTTTTATTAATTTTTTTAAAAAAGATATTCATGTTATATATTTTATATCTATAAATTTTAATCAAATTTATATCAAATTTTAAAGATGTTTTGTTTTATTTTTAAATTAAAATTAAAGTCATAAAGTAGGAGTACTGAATCTTCATAGGTTACCATCAAAGGTGGTAATAGCTTTGCTTTAAATATCGTGGACACGTCCCTTTGCATTGGTAGGTCGAACCTTCACAAACATCGATTCTCACTTATCATGTTTTCATATTATTATTTTTTTTTTTTGTTGAAATAAATGAACCACTATTTCAAACTTTGTGAATTGTTTAATTGAGTTTGAATCTCATGTTTTGTGCTTCAAATTTAAG